AAGCTCTTCATGGCTGTCTTTACCCAGGCAACCAAGAATCATTTATATAATTATTTGAGGAGAGCAGATACATACCTATATACACACATATACACATATACATATATTGCTTAGAGTCATATATGTGTATGTGTAGTTTATTCTTAGTTTTATATATATATGTATGTATGTATGTATGCATATATGTCCAATTCACTTGCATGTCATAGCATCACCTCCCTGATGTCATGGTCCTTTTCAAGAACAAAGGCCTAACAACAAAAATAACAATTGTCTTGGTTATATATATATGTAAAGCTTAGTGTCCATATGTGTATATGAAAACACATGTAAATATACATGTATGTTGTGAGATCTGGAAAAGACCTTAATTTAGAAAGGCCAAGGTCACCCACTGTGTCCTGGGCCATCACTGGTCTTGACTTTTTGTCTTGCCACTGGACTCCAGAGACTCCGGAGGAGAGAGTGAGGCTAACAATTCTGTTCAGCTCTGCCTCAATTAAATTCAATTCACTCAAAAGTCAAGACATCACCCTCATGATGTCATTGGTCCTCTTTGAGAACAAAGGACAAACAACAACAATATACATATGTGGCATGTGTACACACATACACTTGATAATCTTAAACCTGAAGAGCTTGGAGTTGAGGACCTTAGTTGGACCTCGGGACTAAGAGTACCAAGTCCATATCCATATCCATTTTCGTACCCATATCTATACATTTATCTTTTTACATACTGTATTACACTGATAGAAAGCAAGCTGGTTTTTTGTTTCTGTCTTTGTATCTCTTGTACTTTGCACATAGTAGGAACTTAATAAATATTCATTGGATTGGATTCTTCAATTATTTGAATTACATGCTTTCCAGGGGAATTGTTGTTCGTGTACTAGTTGGTATTCAGTAGTAATTTCCCCCTTTTGTTTGTTTGATGCAGATTATGAGCCAGTGACACAAGGAATCCCCCAGAGTGAATCTTGTTTTTGTGTTGTGAGGGCCTTTTAAAAAGAGATAAAATGAGGTTAAATATACTTGCATTATCTCCTTACCACCACTAGGGGGTACCATTCCCTTCTTGCCAAGGTCCTGAGCTTGAGGATGAGAGTAGCCGGGCTGCCTGGCAACTCATATACTTTGCATTAGATGGGAGTGACCTACTCTATTCCTTCTGATGGGATAAGCACTAAGCCTTGACATCTGCCCTGTCACGGCCTCCTGAGGGTCTAGCAATATTACCCCTCCCCACCCCGGAAGCCCTCCAGACCTCTGTCGCTGTCATCTGATCTGCTAATGTAACCTTAAGACCACTTCCTGAGCCCCGACCCTAACCGAAGGACTTCTAGACCTTTCTATCTGTCCTGCTGCAGATCTTTGTCTCCTCCAATTATACTTTGAGATGCCTCGGCTTTTTCTATTCGTGTTCCCAGAACTTAGCACAGTTTTAATAGTAACAATAAACAGTATTTGGAAGGTCATGTGCAGTCATTTAAGACTTTTTTAGAGGTTGAAAGGTCTATTTCTACTCATGCATTTTTCCCAACAGTGTGATGGTACCTTTAAATCAGTACCACTTAGGTGGCTACTAAGGGACCCAACCATATTGTTGTGCTTAATTCACCTCAGCCACTTAGTGTCATAGCTCAGTTCAAGTACCACCTACTACATGCGGCCTTTCTTTATCTCACCACTAAAGCCAGTCCCACTCAAATTATCTTGTATTTTTTTTTGTGTGTGTGTGTGTATGTATTGCATATACTTATTATGTGTGTGTCTGTCATTTCCCTCTGTAGACTATAAGCTTCTTGAGAACAGGGACTATTTCACTTTTGTCTTTGCATCCCCAGTGGCACTGAATAAATTCTTGATTGATTTGCATGACCTAAAATAATTAGGTGTTATATGCTCTGAGCTATAAGGATATCACAAGTGAGAAGGAATGGGACTTACAGGACTAGTCTCCTGGAAGGTCCACAGTGTCAGTACCAGGGCCTGGGTACCATAAACAAGAGTGAGATGCCCAGGTCTTGGGACTAGCAGATTCTCAGGGTAAAGTAGGAGTCTGAGTTTTTGTCTCAATTTTCCATTAATTCTAGCAGCTTCTTGGCTTGTTCTTCATAATTTATCCTGACTACAGTCACTTCCATCCCAGACAAGTGTAAGGTGATCCAAGAAGACCCCAATAATGGGTAATTGGAAGAAATATGGGCTGAGTAGAGCCTGGGAGTTTGGGTGAGTAGAGCCAGGGATTTTAGCAGCAGGTAATAGGCAGACTACAAGAGTAGGTTGGATGCTAGATGATTTTCTAAGGCCCCATCCCATCTAAATCCCATAATCCCATTTCTCAGTATCTATACCACGTCACCACCATCACTTTAAAGTCAACAAGTCTAAAATCAATGTTTTCCTCTCAAATCTCCTCTCCTTCTTGACGTCCTTATTTGTTCCTTCTTACTTTCCTTCCTGATACTCCCATTTTCCTAATCTCATAGGCTTAAATTTACAATTTAGTAAATCATCTTTTACACCACCACCTTCCTTGTTTTCTATATCCAACTAATCATTAAGTCCTGCCTAATTTTCTATCATAATGCCTTTCAAATCCTTTGCATTCACATGGGCATTATATTTATCACTTTATCACCTCACACATGAGAATAATTAAGCAACTATTAAACTGATTCTCCTATTTTAATGCCTATGCCACTAATCCAAACAGCTCATCACCACCAGATTAACCTTCCTAAAATGCATGGGATTTAGGAGAGCACCAGAATAGGACAAGTTTCTGACTGACAAGGACCAGGACTTAAACTAGTAGGTAATTAAGTCAGCCAGGTCAGTTATCACGAACAAAGAAATTGGCAAAGGTAGGAAAGAAAAGGGAATTGTAGGTAAGCAAGAGGTCAGCTTCAGAACCTTGGCTAAGGCAGTAATCAAACACCTAGCCTAGAGAACTAAGGAACAAAGGGTTAAGGACACAAGTCAAAGAATCTAATCACAAGAAGTCAGAAACTTGGTAAAGAGTTTTGATAGCAGGTTTGGAATACAAGCAGCCATAATGGAACCTGATACTCCTGAGCCCAAAGTTGCTAAAGGAGGAGTGATCCTTTGGGCTTCAAGATAGGTACATCCTGTCTTGAGCTAGAGTTGCTATCAGAATGTGGGCTACCATGAGTCAGCAAGTAGATGTTGTTAGCTAGAAGAAGGATTACCAGAAGAAAAGCAATTTCTTACTTCTGGCTTTGCTTAAAACTTTTAGTATTCCCCCATGATATACTGCTAAAATCTGAATTCCTTAAATTAACATATGTGGAGGGTCCCGAAGACCTCTCTCTCCATGTTATCCTAGTCTCCTCTCTGATGAGCTACTTCAATGGCCAACCACCCACCACCCACCCCCAACCAGGACTGTTGGCAAGTGGATTTCCTTCAGCCTGCCCGAATCAGAAGCCAAAGCCAAGGCTGATGGCCAGTCTGCCAGATTGGAATTTGCATAATGTGAATTTACTGTAAAGTGAAAACTGTCTACATAAAATATATCCCCATGGTAACTGGGGGAAGCACAAATAACTCAGGATATGAGGAAAGGCCTCTTATAACAGGTAACATTTGAGGGGAGGCATAGACATGTTTTAATTCGCATCGGCCTTAAGGAGTTAAGTTTGAAATTCTCCATGAGGAAGAAATCACTGACCCTTTGCTCATACTTGATTTCATAATTTGAAGAGATTTTGTGGGATGATCATTGTGGGACAAGTTGAGATTGTCTACCATACTTTAACTTTTGCGTTTTTGAATGAACAGGCACTTATTATGTGCCAAGTAGTGTACTGATTAACTTGTCTTTATTAATAACAATTGTTAGATATCTTTTTATTTAGGAAAACAAACTTTTAAAAACTTCCAAATCAAAGAAGTGTGGGGAGATTTATATGAACTGATGAAGAACCAGGACAAGAATACACACAACTGCAACAATGTAAATGGGAAGAGCAAAAATAAAATTGTTGGCCATATGATTATAATGACCAAGTTTTTGGCCCCAGAGAGCAAGTGATAAATTGCACCTCCCTCGGAGAGGCCCTCAGGAGCAACAGAAGAGACAATTTCTTGCCAGAAGACCTGGGATCAAATCCCAGATTCGCCCTTTGAAATCTGCGTGGCCTTGGGCAAGTCATCCCCTCTCTTGCCCTCAGTTCCATTATCTAGGTGATCGATTTAGGTTCCTTCCAGCTCTAAATCTGGGCTCTCTTTTTTTGTGGAAGAGGAAGACCAGAGATGTGAAACACTGTACTTACTGCCAGACTCTCACGTGTGCATTAGTTTTGCTCAACAGCTCCCCAGCCCCTTCCCTTTTCTTTTTTGGGAGATGGAGAGGAGTATATTTGTGAAAATGAAAAACGTGTTACTGTTATTTTAATTCTCGCCTTTTTGCATTTTCTTCCAGCCCAACCCCGTAGGAATGATGAACGCAGAGAAGGATGAGCGAATGCAGACACTGGAGGCTCACGTAGCCGTGTCCCGCTCCCCGGCTCCCCGCCCCCCCTCCCAGGAGCGCCGGCGCACCGAACCTTTGTACTTCTCCGCCCCCCCCACCCCCCAGGAAATGTGCACGGGCTCCCGGGGCTCACCGCGCTTCCCTCCCCGACTCTGGCCACTTAGGATTCCTCAGATCACACCGCAAGGGCGCTGGGGGCCATCTCCAGTCGTCCTGATGTGTATCAGGCCACTGGGCACAGATGGCTCCGGAGGAGAAAGTGAGGCTGGTGACTTTGTGCAGCCCTTCCTCACTTAGATCCATTTCACTTGCACGTCACGGCATCACCTCCATGACGTCACGGTCCTCTTCCGGAAGGAAGGACTAACAGCAACAGCATGCACGCAAGCGCACTAGGCTCGATGTGCTTCAACAAGCATGACATGAGCGCAAGCGCACTGGGCTCACTGTACTTCCCGCCCCATCCCCGGGAACGCAGGCGCAGTGGGTCCGTTGCTCCATTCCGTCCCTCCTCCTTGAGCCACCGTGCATCTTTCCGGCTAAGGTTTGGGGAGGGGGTTTTGGAGGTCCGCTTTGAAAGACGGCGACATTCATTTCCCAAGCTGGGGCCCGTGGGGGCTGAAGTGCGCGGTCCCCGCACCGTGGAACCGAGTGCCTGTCTGAGGCGGCCATGGAGGCGGAGGTGGGGCCGGGGGAGTCCAAGGAGCCGGCTGAGCTCCCTGCGGCGGTGCGGGCGAAGATCGAGCGAAATCGGCAGCGGGCGCTGATGCTGCGCCAAGCCCGGCTGGCGGCCAGGCCGTACCCGGCGGTGGGGGCAGCGTCAGGGAGCGCCGGAGGAGCAGGTGCGCGCGCAGCCGGGGGCCCCGCCCCCACCTGCACCCGGTGCCAGCTGAGGCTTGTCTGCGCCTCTCTGGCCAAGCCGCCCGGACGCGACACACGCCTGCCTCTTTTCCTCCTCCTTTGGTCCTTATCGTGGTAGACCTGCCACAACCACCCCAGGCAAAGAGGGTTCGAATCCTGGCCCTGAGTAGGGCTGGGAGGGGAGGGGAAGCACTGTATTGATAGTCAGAGGACCTAGGGTTGGACAGCTTAGTGGCTGAGTGACTTTGGGTCTCTGTCCTCTGAGCCTCAGTTTCCTATTTTGTCAGATGAGGAGGTGGAATCAAGTTGGGAATTTATTGGATTCTAAATTACTTAACAAACTCTTGAGGCTTAGATTTTCTCTCTATTATTCGGAGAAGCGGGCCAATCAACATTTATTATGCGCCTACTGTATGCCAGGCACTCTGCTACATGCAGTGGGTAGAGAACTGGCCTCAAAGCTAGGAAGACTCGGGTTCAAGTTCTGTCTGTGACACATACTCCTCCTGTGACCCAGGGAAAACTTAACCTCTCTGTCTTCTAAGATCTTAAATTGCAAATGACTTGCTGACCCATATTAGTAGAGCGAGGCTGCTCACCAGGTGTTTCCCCTAACGATAAAATCCCAAGTCTAGTCCCTATTTTCTAAGTTTATTATGGAAGTAATAATATAGTTTTTATACTGACAACCTCTCTTAGATTTTGAGTAAAGTAAAAAAAAAAAACTTCAGATGTAAGTAAAGAATTTTTTAAATCTTAAAAGTGTTACTGGAATGTAAGCTGACATAGTAATGATGGTTATATCCCGGTATCATTTTTTCTAAGGAAAAAATCAGGGCTTGTTTATACAAAGGTTATTCATTTATAAACTTTTGTTAAAAGGATGCTTTTCTTGAAATGCAGACCTTCCCAAGACATTCTGCTTCTTCTGTAATGATTATAGACAAATGACCCTCTTTAAGAAAAAATAGTACAGTGTTTTGAAAATGTGAACCTAAAGGTATCTTTACAAAGGTAATTTACAAAGCTGTCCCTTAAGGATTTTCCTTTCTGTAAAATTGACATACATAAGTTTTATTTATTTTTTTTAACTGCATCAGATACTGACTATGTGTTGCCTCATAAAGATTCATCTCTTTAGTGGAAGTTGGTTTTTTTTATCCATCGAAATTCCACTGGTGTGCTCTACCATGGTATGAAGGAGTACCTTTGTTCTTGAAGGCTGTGCTAGTCATTTTTCCTCCTCACTGGAAATGTTTTTGAGTATAGACTGGCTCACTGAATGTCAGTTGTTTGTGGACAGGCCTAAAGAAATTGGAAAGGGCTTATTGCCAGATTGGACAAAGTATGATAATGAATTTTGACCAAAGTAACTTGGACTATTGAAAAGGACCTTAGAGGTCATCTAAGTGATTCTTAGAGCATGGTCCTAGTTCTGTATCCAACCTGCTAAGTGACCTCTTGTCCCTTTTCTTCATCTCTCAGTTGAAGCAATTAGACTAGGTTTCAGAGTCTCTTTCAGCTTTAACATTCTATGTATTTTCAAGTTCACTTTTCCATTTAAACTTCATAAGAATTCTGTGAGGTTGGCTGGGCAGATATTTCCCACATAGAGTGGGATTCAAAAGATTAAATGCATTGCCTTGAAAGCCACATGACTAGTGATCAAGGGGACTAATCTTCTAATGGGTATACACTATTCTCTCTTCCACTGGAATACATTCCCAGTGGGTGGGAGGAGGTTTAGAACATCATGTGCTTTTTGTGTTACTTAGGTATGTAACCTGGTACAGATACACAGCAGGTACACAGATTTTGAAAGGGAAGGAAACTTAAAGATCCTCTAATCCAACCCTCATTTTACATATGAGGAAACTGAGACTCAGAGAAGGGAAGTGAGTTGTCCAAGGCCACACAGGTAATAAGTGGTAGATTCAGAATTCAAACCCAAGTCCTCTGACTCCAAATAACAGATAATCAAATGGGACAAGATGTTGAAATACATTCATAACTGAGACAACTGGCAGGCCTACTCATGCATGGTCCCTAGCATCTTTGTCAAGAAATCCCCAAATGGGGTCATGAAGAGTTGGACATGACTGAAAAGAGACTGAACAACATCAAATTGGTGTTTGTCGAAAGAGTGAATGAAGAAGCAACGCCCAAATCTCAGAGTATTTGTCTACTTCATTTCTTTTTCTTTTTTTTCCCCCACTTCATAATAAGAAATCATGGAAAAGATAGAATTAAGGATTCTTTCAAAATGTGACTCTTAATGCTGATTTGATTACATTAGAATTTTAGAGTTAGAAGGGACCATAGAGCTTATCTAGTCTTGTTGTTCAGTCATTCAGTCATGTTGGACTCCCTGTGCTCATACCAGGACCTTCACTGTCTCTCAGAGTCTGTCAGAGTTCATGTTTGTTGTTTCCATGGTGTTGTTTATCCATCTCAACCTCTGCCGTCCCCTTTCCTTTTGCCTTCAGTGTTTCCCAACATCGAGGTCTTTTCCAGTGAGTTCAGTCTTCTCCTGTGGCCAGAGTATTTAAGCTTCAGTATCTGACCTTTCAGTAAATAACCTGAATTAATTTCTTTAAGTAGTGCTTGATTTGATCTCCCTGCTTTCCAAGGGACTCATCTAGTCCTAATCCCATTATTTGATGAAGAAACTAAAGCCCAGCAACTTGCCCAAGGTTATATAGCGAGGCAGCGTCTGGTATTGTAGTGTAGAATCCAGCTGTTGGAAGAGGCTTTAAAATGAAGTTCTTCAATTTAGATTTGAAGTAACTATTTGTTATAAGGCAGTGTCAAGATACTAGGAGACACCCTGTTTTCGAAAGCCAAGGCCCAGCAAGCAAGCTGTGCCCTGAGCTTGGCATAACAACAGTCCTTTGTGCTCACCGTCTGGATGATCTCACCCTCTGGAAAAAATCACATAAGTATTGTATTGCTTTGACCAGCTGTTCTCTGAGCTCAGACAAGTACCTGTGTTGTGGTCGTGAAGCCTTGCTGTGAGTCAAACTTGTCTCATTGTTGCTGTTACCCCTTATTGTCAGGGGTGCAGCTCATTGCATAGCCATTGGTATAAATATTGATATCTCCCCACACTGCCTTTGGCACCCCCACTGGGTGGGGGAGGCCCTGGCACATGTGTCCTTCCTTGCAAGCCCTTTCCCTCACTTTGAAATTAAACTTCTGTTTGATTCCTGATCCTCCTATCTCTAGCCTGCTCTGTTCAGCTCTAGCCACCCACAGGTTAGAGGCTGGTTTGGTCTGGTTGAAAGCCAGTCTGTAGGTTTACTTAGCAGTTTAACTGCACTAACATCTTATTTTCATTTTTCAGGAATTACTAATGTGAAATCAGCACCAAAAATAATTGACACGGGAGGTGGTTTCTTTTTAGAAGAGGAAGAAGAAGAAGAGAACAAAATTGACAAAGTTGTACATAAACCAGGTAAAATCTGAGTTTTTAATAAAATAGGTATCTTAGTTATTTGGAGGTAATTTGTATATAAAACTGTTACTGTTATGGGGGACTCGAAATGTGTAAAATGATATTATTAGCTAAAGTGGCTTTGTACGTGTGATACAGCTGCATAGAGAGCCAGCATGGTCACCAGTAGAAATGATCCTGAGTCCTCAGAGACTTAGAAGGTAAGCTTGGGCTGGTTCTGTTGTTCTGGGAACACTTCTGGTAACAGACTACTTTCGGAGGACCAGTTTAGCCAAGTACCGAGCAGCTTATCAGCAGTTGGCTGGCTACTTGGTGCTGAATTCTTTGGCCCTGGTAAAAAAATACAACATGGCCTTCAGCACTTTGCAGGCTTCTGCTGCTGGAGTACTCAATATAGCTAGGGCCATTGAGCCATTGTGTGCTTCATAGTAGGCGGTGTATACTGATCCATATCCCTTCTCATAGAATTTTTAGAGCTGGAAGAATTGAAAGATCATTTAATCTAACTCCTCATTTTACAAATGAAGAAACTGAGCCCAAAGACTGCTAGATATCTGATGTCCCAGAAACATGGATTTACAGACTTAGAAGGAACTTCAGAGGGAATCTAGTACAACTCCTCTCCACAATATGAATCCCTTCTGTGATAGCCTCAACAAAGTTGTCCAGGCTCTATCATGGGAATATGTCTGCCTCATGAGGCAATCCATTCCATTTTTTGACACCTCTAGTCATTGTGAAGTTCTTCATATTGCATCTTTCTCCCACTGGTTTTATTTTCACGTTTTAGGACCACACAGAATAAATATAATTCCTTTTCCAGATGACAGATGGACCTCAGAGGCTATCTGAATTTATTGCTAGGTACATTGGATTTTTCTGAAAAGGAAAAAGGGAAAGTGATCCATTTCTCCTGGCCACATTATTTCTTAACATTTAGTGGTAAATTCCTCTCTAAATGAGTGATTTTTTACAGTAAATCAAAAAAAAAAAAGTCACTTAAAAAATCGGGGCAGCTAGGTGGCGCAGTGGATAGAGCACCGGCCTTGAAGTCAGGAGGACCTGAGTTCAAATGTGGCCTCAGACCAAACACTTGACACTTACTAACTGTGTGACCCTGGGCAAGTCACTTAATCCCAATTGCTTAAAAAAAAAAGTCACAGTAAATCAGCAGTGATACTAGGAATAGAAAAGGCTCATGCGTAGTACTAACATATCTAAGTGGGGTTTATAAAAGAGTATTCTTTATGGCAAACCAAGGCCTTAGAAGAACTGAAGATGAGGACTGTTACAAATTGTCATTCATGTCTGTATCAGATTAAGTCTTGGGGGAAAGAGGCCCAAAGATGGATTTCCCTTTTAATGCATCCCTGATGAATGCCAGTGGTATTTCACTAGTTTTCCTGGTTGCTAAAGTAACAGATTACCCTTGCTTCCGTACCAGTAACTGCTCCAAGACCCACAGGAAGCAAGAAAAACACAATGCCATCTAATTATACTATCTTCTAGTCTGTAGTGTTCCATCTCATCCACAAAGATATTAAGAGAATTGTGAGATTCCTTGCTAAAATCCAAATATACAACATTTCACTAATCATTTGATTAACAGTCAAGCAAAGGAAGCGAGGTTAGTTTGGCATGACTTGTTATTCGTAAATCCATTCAGGGTCCTAGTGACTTCCCCTCAATCCTTCTCTTCTTTGTACCCCTTCTCTTCTTCCTCCTCCTATCCCCTCATTAAAGCATTCTTGGTACAAATCCAGTAACAAACAGGAAAACACAGTGCCTTGTCCTGTTCCTGCATACTTTTGGTCTCCTTGGACTAATCTCCATACTTTGAAAGCTTTTTTTGTTCCATGTAGCTTGGAGATTGAAAATTTGGAATGACGACAATTAAAACTGTTTTAAGTTCTTATAAATCAGTTTTATGTCCAAACAATTGTGGGTAACAGTTCAGTGGGTGATAATGGTTTATTGGTTGAGTTTTCCAGGATCTTTTGAGTTCCGTATTTCTAGTTCAAGGATTTGTCATCTGTCAGTTCATGAAAATAGTGAACTGCTGATAAATAATTCTGGCTGCCAGGTTATGTCTTGCTAGATATTCGGTAGGTTCTCAATTTCTACAGCCTGCCATGAAGTGTTACATTCTTTCTACCTTTTCCTTACATAGTCTACATTGATCACTAGTTTTTGGTGGCAATAATCATCTTCATTCCTGTCAAAAAATGTCCACGTTGACATTCATACATGGGTTACACACTGCATTGTCAACATATCGCTGCCTCTGGTCATGTGAATGTTGCCTAGTTTCACATGGCCATTGCTTATAGAGGGTCTTTTGATTACACTCTTACATCTAAATTACTTTCATAGGTTTCATCTGACAAACTCAACGGTGGATTTGTAATATCAGTTTTTACTGTTGCTCAATGAAGTGATATATCCTTATTTCAGAAATATTTCTATAGGCCTTTAACCTGTTTGTCATTTTTCTTAAGAATGTCGACCAGTCCTCCTTTTTTTTGATATGGAAGTGTTAATCTTGCTATGGCTGCCTTTAGGTGATGAACCTTATGTTTTGTTAATATTGTATGGGTTTTATGTGAGAGTTACTTTCCAGAACTGTTACATAGTCTATTTTACAGTTTCAAAAGTGTACACTGAGACTGGTATTGGCATAGCTGTTAATCGATTTAAATGTGTTTTTCCCATTCAACTTTGATTTCAGAATGCCTGTAAATATTTTTATATATTCAGCTATGGCCTCCTCCTTGGAATCTTTATGTTCAGTGTGATTTCCCTGGAGAAAGCCGAGGTATTGCCTTCAACCATTGGTTCAGTGTGTAACCTCTGAATTCAAGCTTGAAGTCTTCAGTCTCTATTTTTTACATGGTGAACTGCATCATTGGGAAAAGATTCTACAAATTGAAGGAGCTGTTTAATATATTTTTGGGTGGAACCAAGAGCTCAGTGTCATCCATATACATTGGAAAGTTAATAAAATGTTTTGGTTCAATTCTTTTAATATGGAAACTACATTTAGTTTTATTTAGTAAATATCATAATGAACTTAAAGCCAAGCAGAACTATAATTGGCTTAAGCTGCCTTCCTGAAAAATACCATATTTTATATAAATTATTATTGATTATGTATTAGAGGTAAGGTTTAACTGGAGAACAGTTTTCTGTGAACATCAAATACTCTAAGCCTTCTCAGTATAGTTGAATCTATTGTCTATATATGCTGTGCGTGAATAAGATACAAATGTGGGACTTAATTTAGAGATTTTGCAATAATCAACAAAGGCAGTGTATATGTTATAGTGCTTTCAGGTAGCTCTTTCAGTTAACTGCTGAATTGATAATAAGTAGCATTTTATATCCCAGGGACATTTTGGCACACCTCTTCTGCTCTTTAACGAATACCTTGTTTTATTGTGTTTATAATTTTTTTTGTGTGTGCACTACAAGTTGTGAATGCTTTGTATAAAGTACATAAATAAACACATACTTGACCTAGATTTGGAGGGATCACTAGTGTTCTCATCCTTTGGTAATAGATATGGGATACCTTCTGTTAAGAAAGATGGGATCAGGCTTACATCGGAGAGGAAGCTGGTAAAGTGCCCTGCTAGTAATTCATGCAGCACTAAAGCATTTGAGCCAAAAGTTATGGATCTTTTCCTGCCCTGCTGCCTGCTACTTTCCAGTTTTGCAGAGGATAGAGTTTCAGTCATCTCCCTTGAAGTAAGTGTTTGGTTGAAAGAAGGGGGTGTATGTGAGAGGTGTTATGTTCACAGAAGCAGTTTTTTCATACTGTCAGGGATGCTGAACCAATCAGTGGTATTGCTAGAGCCCAGGTGGCCAATGTTTTAGGGTTAAGCGGTGGTCACCTGGTGACTGGATGGGTTTCCTCCTTTGGAAAGGAAGTTGGATTAGATGACTTCTAATAACCCTTTCAATTCTGGTTTTATTATTCTACGGGCATAATTGATTCTTCTTTAACTTTGCTTACGGTATTTTGGCTATGTAGTTCTTGATTGTATATAATACAGCATTGATCTCATGCATAATTAGAGGTGGGGGGAGATATTGGAAGGTTTTGATATTTTCTACAATTTGGAAAGAATAGAAAAACCCTTTTAGGGGTTTTCTTTCTCAACAGATCTGGGCAAAGCTCAAATGATTCTGTTCATGTCTCTAAGTTCTGGCTCCTCTTAAACCATTTTCTTCATTGGTCAGAAAATTAAGTTCACTGTACCCTTTAGAAAATAGCTGAAGGTGTCTGTCTAGGTGGATAAAATTTCTTTTGCTGATCCCTTTCGTTTCCCGTTTTTTAAAGATCTTTATCATTCTTAGGCAGGACTGTTCCAAATCCCTTCTATTTGGGTTTCTGTCTCCAGGCTTCTTCTAGTCTATTCTCATGAAACCCTGCCTTGATCATGCCTACACCCTGCTCCAGAATCTTTGCAAGGACATAGATTTAAGGCTAGAAGGAGCCTTAGAGGCCCTGTTTCTCCACCCACCCACCCCCCTCATTCTGTAGGTGGGGAAACTGAAGTCAGATGACTTGTTTTTGGTCATACAACTGGGAAGTGTCCAAGGTGAATTCTTACCCAGTTCTTACTGATTCTGAGGCCAGCAATTTATCCACCATGCCGTACTGCCTCTCCTTTTCTGTAATTTTCTATTTCAGCAAGTGTCCCCAGTCTTTTCCTGAGAAGGTATAATTTATTTCCCCAAAGTTTTGAGATTATGGGCTTGGAGAGTGGGAATAGTGAAGTGGGAGGACAAGAGGGTTCAGAGGAAGGTGCTGACAGTCTTGGTCCTTATCTGAATTGAGGAGAGAGGTACCACTGCGAGTTGTGTTCCTGCCTCATCTAAGTAAATAATTTTAGCTGGGAGCAGTGCTCTAAGGGAACAGGATATAAGATAGATTATATGGGTTTTATGTCAGGATGAGAAGGGAGGGTTACATCACAGGAGGTTGTGGTGGAGGGTGTCATAGTTGGGCATTTTAAGTCTTATCCCACTGTCTTATGGTTTAGAGGTAATCTTGGTCTCTAGTAATCTAGTCTCTGGCTAGTAGACTGCAAACTTTGGTATGCCTTAGGACTAACAAAGCCTTGACTGCTGGACTGAGGACCAGACAAACTAAATAGGGAGAGGCTGACTACCTGAATATTTTTTTTGTTTGTTTTTGCAACCCTTAAAGAGTTAAGAACTATTTTGATTCAGCTGGTCTCCTTGGAGATCAAAGTACATTGTTTTTTACTTGTGCTGAATGTCTTATACTGTTTAATTCAGATAAGTGGAACATGTATTCTCTGGGACTTTACTGAAATAGAATACTATCAAGATATCCAGACAGTGTGAAAGATCATGATAAAAAGCTATGAAAATGTTGGAAAATGCATGGATATATGCCATAGATCATTCAAAGAAAATCTAACTAAAAGATTTATTCCTCCTTTCCTCAGGGCCTGTTCTAGAGTGCGATTATGCAGTTTGTGAAGAATGTGGGAAAGAGTTTATGGATTCTTACCTCATCAACCATTTTGATTTGGCAACTTGTGATAATTGCAGGTACTAGCCACATTTCATTTCCCATGCTTAGAATTGTATCAGGCAGATGGGCATTTAATCTTATTTTAAAAAATATTTAAGGAAAGAAATTTAAAAACTTTTCCGTTAAATCTAATTAGAAGTTTTTCAATCCAGATGAGGAAATTTTACTGATAATTAAATAAATGTTCTTTAGAAAATTTTAAAAGCGCATCTGTTTCTTGTAACATTGATTCTAAATTCTTACTGTTCTCCTTTGGGTTTTATATCACCTTCATTTCTGAATATATCCTAAATAATACCTGACAAATTTTTGTTCTTGTTGTTTTTTGTTTTGTTTTGTTCCCAAGGCTACTTAAAAGTCACTTTAGGGGGATTTGTTGTTGTTGTTGTTATTCCTTTTTTGATTTTTTTTTTTTGTGCAGCGTCAGAAGGTGGTGCAGTGGGTAGAGTGGTCTTCGTGTCAGGCTTACCATAGTTTGAATCTTGCCTCTGACACTTAACTAGCTCTGTGACCCTGGCCAAGTCTTACAGGTTAAATGGAGGTGAACCTCTGTTTGCCTCACTTTCCTCATCTGTAAAATGGGGGTGATAAGAGCACCTCATTCGTTATTGTCCTTTGTAACTGAAGAAGACCAAAATGTTGTCACAGTGTCAGGTTCAGTGGGAAAGAGATGTCTCTAAATTTGTGCTTCTCATGTTTCTTTTGAGCTACTACAGCTCTGCTTTGCTCATAGCACCTTCTTTGATGTGGCCACACCATGCTGGGTGGTGCCAGTATCTCCCCTGTCTCACAGTTGATACCAGAGTTCTTCAGAGAGACCTTGAGAGTGTCCTTGCATTACTTCTGACCTCTATGTAAGCATTTGCCTTGTATGAGTTCTCTGTAAAATAGTCTTTTAGGCAAATGTATGTTTGGCATTCGAGCAGCATGGCCTGTCCATCAGCATTGTATTCTCTGCAGTAGAGTTTGAATGGTTGGCAGTTCATTCAATAAAGGACCTCAGTGTCTGGTGCCGGGTGATCTTCAGAATCTTTCTAAGACAATTCAAATGGAAGTGATTCACTTTCCTGGCATGGTGCTGGTATGCTGCCCAGGTTTCACAGGCACACAACAATGAGGTCAGCACAACGGCTCTGTAGACCTTCAGGTTGGTGGCCAGCCTGATACCTCTTCTCTCCCACACTTCCCTTCAGAGCCTCCTGACACTGAGGTAGCTGTGACAGTGCAGGTGTCAGCCTCTTCACCTGTGTGGACAGTCCTGGGAAGTGTCTTGCCGAGGTGCCTGCCTGTAGGCTTGAGGTGAGGATCAGATGCTTTAACACATGGGAAGAACATTGCCAACTACAAGTCCAGGATATGTGCCAGCTGCTGTTATTCTTTAAACCTGAACCGGAGTCTAGTGAGGGCTGATCTGAGTCCTCGTGTCGCCGTGCAGCCACAGACTGGCCCTGGAATGATCTCATTTTGGTAGAAACATTTGTGAGGCAGAATGAGAGAATAGATGCTTCCTAAGGTGCCTTCCCGTTCTAAATTCTATGATGTTAGAGGTTTTGGCTTTTTCTATTTAACTGCTGCTTTGTGGAGCAATTTTTACTTCTTAATTTTAGGGGTGTATGGTGTTTTGTCTTGAACAAAGTTGACATAATGAGAATCTTTTGTCAGTCAGAAGGTCCTTGCTGCACCTCCTAGCTTTGAGAAGCTGAATGATGCACTTCTTAATGTGATTGTCTTAGCACATGGAAATTGCAAAATATTTTTTGCTTCCGAAATTTCAATGTTTTAAATCGAACTGATAATGTAAATGGCACTTAGAATTATCTCATCTTTGTTATTCTTTGCTGTAGGGTGCTGACTGTTGCTGTAGCTATTTGAATAGTGAGGCTAAGACCATGTTTGATATAGCAGACTTTTATAAATCTTTTTCAGAGATGCTGATGGTAAACACAAGCTTATAACCAAAACAGAAGCAAAACAACAGTACCTCTTGAAAGACTGTGATTTAGAAAAGAGAGAACCAGTGCTTAAATTTATTGTGAAGAAGAATCCTCATCATTCACAGTGGGGTGACATGAAACTTTACTTAAAACTGCAGGTATGGAAAGATTACATTCATATAATCGATACTCTGTGGTTCAGTTTTGGATTAGACTGATCCAGCTACCTATAAAAGTTTAACAAAATTGTCTTAATTGTTTTAGAGGAAAAATAACATGTCATCTGAAAGAGGATTGTTCGTATTGCATAAAATCTTATTTAAACACCATTTCCTTAGTGTTAGAATGAGAAGTAGCCAGAGGACCTTGCCACTTAATTTGAATGGCTTTATACCAAGGAGTTTGGCATCGAGAGCACAAACATATCAAGTATTTGGTCCCGGCTATAGAGAGCCTCTCATCAGTTGTCCATAAAGATCCAAGTTGAATAAAAGGTGACCAGTGGTGTTAAAGATAGTCCCTTGGCCCCGGAAGGGCTGAATCAAGTTTTAAAACAATTGTTTAGGCAATTTCATAAGCTACGACTAGTTGACAACCAGATCAGGTAAGATGTATTCTGTCACCTTTATGGCCTTGAACTTTTTTATGATGGAGGAATTCTTTACCCAGTGGGCAGCCTGACATTTTAGCAACAGAATCCAGTTAGACTCTGTCCCTTTGAATGGGGGTAGAGGATTTGACTCTGGAGACAAGCACTGTTGTCATGAAATGCTTCCCCACGTCCTCTGCCCCTATAGCCATCTTTTGAGCCTGATTATCACCTGATGGTGCAGCACCATCATACACAGATTAATGAAGGCTATAAGAGTGCGAGAGTCCACCAAGGCTGAAGTGAATATGTGATTGTTATAGGGTTAGAAAAGACATTTCAGCCAGATCTCTAATTCCCAATTGAAAGAGCCTCACTGCTCCTGTAATCAATGTCACTGTGGCTTTTGGAAACAGATACTCAGCTTTTTTGAATCAGCCAGTTGGCAAAAGTGCAAAATATCAAATAGAGTGCCAGAAACTGGCCCAGGAAGGCTATTAGAATATATAATAATGCAGTGGTTGTGAGGGCTCTGGGAGGTGGGGCCCCAAGCAGTAACTGTTATCCAAACTGAAACTCAGCCAGAGGTACAGCAATCTTAAGAGAAAACGAATGGGCAGGATGCAGTCAAGTGGAAGAGATGTCATCAAGCATATCACCAATATGAGATAGTAAGCGCAACTTGAATACAAGTAGATGATAAATCTTTTTAGTTTTAGCAGGGCGTAATTAGTTCAGTCTCCTCTTTTAACTGAGAAGTAATGTTTGTCTTTTGCAGAGCCATTTTAAATATTGATCTTACTGTTTTTATATCATGGACAGATACTGACTTTTTGTACATAGATTTTAAGTTTGTTATTTATCATATACTGTTATTATTATCTACTCAGAAGGAAATTTCTGTTTGGAATCAACGTGATGTGGTGGTGGTTGGGTATTTGTTTTTTAAACATTAACTGAATAAATTAAAAATATTTTAATTTCATTGAGACATTTGACAGTCTTTCATGATATCTTTGTGGGAAGTGTTAACTCTTTTCTTGGCACTGAAAAGATGGGGATGCAGAGTAACTAGGATCCTCGGAAATGAAAAGCATTTGATAGCTTTATTCCTCCACTGAGAATGGAAGAGTCAAAGGAGACTTTCTTGGACTACCTATGGGCAATCTCAGCCTTCTTACTGGGAAGGTGAATAGGAGTGTTTTGTCCTATTTGTCACTAATCCCAATCCTACCTGCATTCTAGAATTTTTTTTTTTAGTTTTTAGGCAATTGGGGTTAAGTGACTTGCCCGGGGTCACACAGCTAGTAAGTGTCAAGTGTTAGTCTGAGGTCGGATTTGAACTCAGGTCCTCCTGACTTCAGGGCCAGTGCTCTATCCACTGCGCCACCTAGCTGCCCCCTAGAATATTTTTAAATATTTTCATCTGACAGATTTCTGTTGCCTACCACAATGCGGCACATCAGTTCAAAACCAGTGCTAGGTCCTAGGAGGAAGGTGCCATGTTGGTGCAGGAGGGAGAAGGAAGATAGCCCCAACCCTTTTCTGGTGACAAGCTGGTCCTAAGTAAAACTTTGAAATAGATGGTTTGTTTTTGGTAACTCTCTACCTCCATTTCTACACTTCTCTCCCACTTCCTGGCATTGAATACTTTAGAATATACCCTTACTCTGCCTGCCCAAATGCTCCATGTTCTAAAATTTCTTTTTTGCTCTCAGTGTCTGAACGTCACACCTATCCCCAACCCAAAGTTTTTGTTTCCTAACTTAAGTTGTTCTCAGCTAAGAAAGTAGTCTGATGAAGTCATAAATATAGATGACTGATAACCATAAATCCATTTTTATTTTAAAAGAAGATAATTATTAATCCAGAAAAACCTTCCAATTAATGGAATCTTAGGCTTATGTGCAAAGAAAAACCACCTCACGGTATGAAAAAATTGTGTTGCTCACAGAAAATGATGTTCAGCAAGTGTGCCCTGTCATGGATCAGCTTCTTCTTAATTTGTTCTGTACCAGGAATCCAAAGATTCTTGAAAGGGCCCAAGGCTTCTTTCATAATGACATGGGGTAGGCACAGAGTGCAATCTGCTTGGTATGATACGATTCCTGCCTCCTCCCCTTTCTTCATAGCATATATTTAGAGCTGGAAGGACCGTTACAGGTCATCGAGCCCAATCCCCCTGTCTTATTAATTTCCTGATAATTTATTAAAGCTTTCTACAGTTACTCCTCCTACATTTCGACTTTCCCCATCATGGTTTCAGGTTTGCTATATCGCTGGTCAGCATAAGAAATTATGTGGGAATTTTTTGGGACTTTTGTAGAAGCTGCAGATGACATGAGGACTGCAGACTACACTGAACAAGTTTAGAAACTCTGAAATGCATAACATATGTATAATATTGTATATTATCAACGTATTTTATCTTTTAATGCCATAATAATTCAGACTTCTTCTCTGGTAGGGAGGGCCAAAAAATTTCACTCGGATTTTCCACAATGCAGGGGTGCTATGCCCCTAATCCCCACAGTGTGGAAGGGATAACTATATTTCTAACTCTATTCACTGGCCAAAATACTGCCCGTTGCCTCCTCCCTTTAAATAAAGAAAAATAGTTATATAAGATTGACATAAGCAGTATTTTGGCAATGTATATATCATTCGTAGTTCATTGCCCTCAGCATCCCACCAAAAGAGGGAAGTGTATTTCATCACCTATCTTCTGGGACCAAGATTTAATTCCCTCATTTTACAGATGAGGAAACTTCAGCCCAGAAAAGCTAAGTGATTTGCCAGTAGTCACACAGCTATAGTGTAGCATAACTAGAATTGGAACGTATGTTCCAAATGCAGGGCACTGTTCCTTCGCACTGTATTATTTTAAAGCCATTCTTAAAGTTAACATTGCTTATTTTATTGAAAGATTTTGAATAATTTTCATTTAGTTCAATTTCAGTAAAAGCCCCAGTTTTCTTATGCAAGAGACCTAGAACATTACACCCATCTCTGTTACTTGTAAAGTTGACTTTACTTTGTAATAGTTAAGCAAAAAGTCCCTTGGTTCTGTGTCCTGCAGGTTATAAAGAGGGCTCTTGAAGTCTGGGGTAGCGAAGAAGCCCTCGAAGAAGCAAAGGAGGTCCGACAGGAAAACCGGGAGAAAATGAAACAGAAAAAATTTGATAAAAAAGTAAAAGGTGAGCAGCTGGGGTTCAGCCTGTGAAAGGCTCAGGCTTTTCAAGGGCTTTGCAAAGTTTCTGACTGCTGTTTAAAAGAGGAGAAAAAAAAGGTATTGGGAATGTGATTTTGTCAGTAGCAGAGATGGTTTAAAGTAGCATTTACTGTGCACAAATGGGTTGGTAGTGCTGCTTTTTGCTCCTGTGTCAGACCAAACCGGCCTCTCACTGTGGGTGGCCTGAGCTGAGCTAGACAGAGCAGGCTAGAGATGGGAGAGTCAGGAATAAAACAAAGTTTAATTTTAAAGTGAGGGAGAGGACATGCCCACGAGGAGGGGATCCAGGCACATGTGTCAGGGCCCCGCTCCTCACGGGGGCAGCCGGGGCAGTGTGGGGACATGTCAAGACTCATACCAACGGCCATGCAGCGAGCCGCAGCCCTGACAACGAGGGGTAACGGCAACAATGAGACAAGTTTGATCCATAGCAGGGCTTCACGACCAGAACGCGGGTACTCGTCCGATGCTTGTCTGAGTTCAGATAACACCCGGTGCTGGTCAAAGCAATATAGCAATCAAGTGATTTTGCCAGAGGGTGAGCAAAAGGATGGTTGTTATGCCAAGCTCAGGGCACAGCTTGCTCGCTGGGCCTTAGCTGTAGAAACAGGGTGTCTCCTAATATCTTCACATTCTGTTTTTGGAACCTATCTAAAAGCAGGTTAAGATTTTTCTTCAGAACAACGTTGTTACAGATTGTGTTCCTGACTGAGACCAACAGTATGCCAGGAAAGCAAAGACACTATTCTGTCTCTAAAATAACTGCAGCAGGTACAAGATTTTAGAACTGAAATGAACCTGAGCAGCCATTTAGGCCAAGCCTCGCATCTTACAGATGAAGAAACTGAAGTCTAGAAGCTTATTCAAAGATAACCGTGTAGTTAATCATTTTGCTTATTTTTAGAATTTAGAAATTTTGTTGGAGTTGACCTGGATGGGTCACGTTCATAAATCCAGAGCAGGGAGGAACCTTAAAGACCATCTAGGCCTGGAGAGGTTAAGTGAGTTTTCCACGATCACACAGGGGAGGGAGTGGCGGGTATGGGATTGAACCCAGATCATCTGGATCGTTTTTTTTTGGTCCAGGGAAGTTTAAACTGATGCACTTTTTTTTCTCTCTGGACCTTTAGAATCATTTCATGATCATTAAGAAAAAAATAGCTGTTAGAACATTTTAATGATATTTTAATAAGAGAAGAGAGCATGGCTTTTTGTATATGGCTCTGGATTTGGATTTGGGAGACCTGGCTTTGAATCTCATTTCAGGTACTAGCTGTGTGATCTTAGGGAAGTGATGTTATTCCTCAGAGCCTGTTACTTCATTTGGAAAATAGGGATAGCTGTTTCACATGTTATGAGGAAAGCACTTGGTAAATTTTAAAACCCAAACCCTAGATAGTAAAAGGTTTCCCAGAATACTTTAGTTCTGAGAGTTTGGAATAGTCTGATTGGAATTAAATTGTCCTTAAATCTTTGCTTTCCCCAGTTCACTTTTCCCTACCCCAAAAGACAGTTGATAAAGGGTACAAGAAATTTAAAAAAAAAGAAAGCCTTAGGATGATATTTAGAAGGGAGATTGGAAAAATGGTTACACTCCTTGATGAGAGAGATTTATAGACCTTGGCATTTTACTGTTTTCTTAAACACTGCAGACTTACCTTCTTCCCTCCCTGCTCTGCTCTTTGCTCCAAGTCCCTCTCCATGTTGGGCCCTGCTGCAAATGCCGAGTACAGGCAGTGAGAAATCAAGCTGCTTTGCTATATGTCTGTTAATTTTAGAGCTGAATGAACAAAGGTGGTGAAATATATATTGTTGAGAAAGGGGAATAGGCTGTAATTTTAATAAGCTGCGATCATGTTGGATGCTGTGGCCCAACAGGCTTTCTTAGTTGGGTTAGGCTTCTCTTAGAGGTCGTCTTTTTCCTTTTCTTTGTGCTTTTTCAATAAAAAGTAAACATCCAAGAATAAATAGTTTTAAAAGCAGCATAAACAGCATCTTGCTTAATAGTTTAATGAATGTATAATAAACATTAAAGGATACTCTAAATAAGTTACAGTTTTTAGAGCCAGATTGGAAGAAATATAAATACCTAGGTCATAATAACACACTAACATAGTAGTTTGGCCCCTTTACAGAATACTTATCTATACAACCCCTATGAAATAGGTAGTGCAAATATATCATCTCTGTTTAGATGAGAAAATTATGGTCAGAGTGGCCATGTGATTGGTCAGAGAAAATGTCTAGTAAATGGCAAAGCCTGCATTCAAATCGAAGTTTCTAGTTTAAGTTGAATATACCTTCTGGGAGCAGTACTTCTTAAATGTTTACCTGTTAACAGTTATTGTTTTGGGCATCAAGGTGGCACAGGAGGTAGAGCGCCAGGCCTAGAGTCAGGAAGACTCGAGTTCAAATTCAGCCTCAGACATTTACAAGCTGTGTGACCCTGGGCAAGTCACTTCACCCTGTTTGCCTCAGGAAATGGCAAACTACTTAAGTATCTTTGCCAAGAAAACCACAAATGGGTCACCAAGAGTCAGACATGACTGAAAACATCAAATCATTGTTTAGCCTACCATGTTCTCCTGCAAGCTTTTACTCTGAGCCTTTATTGGAGTTAGTCCCCTTCAGTGATAGTTTAAACTCTAGGGATTGTTTGTCAAAAGTCTGCTGTTTTCTCCAAATTTTGTGTGTCTTTTTTTTTCCCCCCGCATTGAATTCCCAAGGTTTGTATAAATATGCTTTGGTTTCTCTTGGTGAAACCAAATTCTTTGAGTTAAAGACTTTCTTCATAGCTAAGGCATGATTTTTATAGATAGTTGTAAAGGCTTGGGGGAGAAAATGAGGAAAAAAAATTAAATTCCTGATTGAAAACATTGTGAAATTTTGAATTATGTATTTTTAAAATGAATACAATGTTTAAAATAAAGCATTAATTATATTACTGATGTTGAGATTTTATTGTCAGTCCTTTTGTAAGCAGAGTCAAGGTGCAAGATGCAGAAGGCTTTGGAAAATATTCTTGCCCTGCTGTTCTGTAGTGTTCTACTTCACAGTGTTATTGAAAAGCAAGTTAGTCCATTGCTTTCCATCCTGTGGTACTAACATGGAGCTAGTTGGTGATGATCTGCCATATTGCTTAACATTCTTGCACAGTCAGTTAGCAAGGCAAATAAAGTTTATCCTCTTCTGGAATATTTATGGGAAGACACAGACAAAAACCACTTAGAATCAAATGTGGAGAAGGGATCTGCACCAGTGGGCAGAGTATCTACATTGATAAGACCTTGGTTCCATTGAAGATATGCCTTTTTTACAGAAATTGGATTTTAAAACATATGAGTAGAACAGTATTTTAAAATAGAGAGTTCTGTGGGAAAAACATCTCTGGATGGAGTTGTCTTGTGGATAGAGGGCCAGTCTTGAAGCTGGGAAAACCTGGGTTCAAGTCTCACATCCATGTTCAAAGATAAAGCTTAAAATGCATTGCTGATAAGTAGCAGGCAACATAGTATATAGTGCAAGCGTTTTTAATCTGGGGGAGGTCTGAATTTTTTTAAAAAAAAGTTTTGATAACTGTATTTCAATATAATTGGTTTCCTTTATAATCCTATGTATTTTATTTTATACATTTAATAACATTACTCTGAGATTGGGTTCATAGGCTTCAAAAGATTGCCAAAAGGGTCCTAGACACAATAAAGATTGAACCCCTGATACAGTGGAAAAACCACTAGAGACCCAACTTCAGATTCCCTTTTATTGAGGATTCATTTAACCCATGGTCACCTTCACTTTCCTTATCTGTGAAATGGGAATACTTACCTTTTTCTAACCTCAGATGATTACTGTGAGGGTCATAGGCAGTCATAGAAATGAAAATGCTTTGCATGTTTAAGTCTACAGTCACATAGCTAGTGTCTGAGGCCAAACTTGAACTTAGGTTGTCTTGACACCACAGCTGCTCCTACATTCAGTAGACTATACTTTCATTTCTTTCTATACATACTAAGTACTCATTAACAAAAACATTTATAAAATGAGTTAAGACTAGATGATTGCTAAGGTCCCTGCCAGTGTTGACATTTTATAATTGTGAATCCATCAGTGGACGCCCATCCCAACTGAGATCATTTTTATCTTGTCTTGTTCCCATGCCATTCTTACATTTCAGACCCTAACATTATCCCTTTTCATCGAAGGGCAGTAGTGTATTCTCATTAACAGCTGCTTCAAATGTATATTAACTTTATACAACTTTAACGGTTTTAAATAGTAAGATTATTTAAATCTTAAGTATAAATTGGCATCTGCAGTTGTTCTCACGATGTTTTGGTATCTTAGAATTACGCAGAGCTGTAAGAAGCAGTGTATGGAAAAAAGAAACAGCTATTCACCAGCATGAGTACGGACCTGAAGAAAGCATTGAAGATGACATGTATCAGAAGACTTGTACAATTTGTGGCCACCAATTGACATATGAAAAAATGTAATGTAAATTTTTAGACTTAGCCATTTTGAAATGTTTTATATTTAAATAAAGAGAATTTTAAAGACAAGTCATGTAATTACGCAAAATTGTTAACATGAAGTGGTTTCGGTTTTCTTTGTTAGCAAGCACTGATTTTTACATATGGGTAGTTATTTACTAGACACTTATGGTTAAAGGCAAGTTAACTTACTTTCATCATGCAGTGGGGTGAATACATAAAATCTTAAAGTCAGTAGTGTTGCTATACTTTTAGCCCTGGTCTTATGGAAAAACAGCTACATTATTTTCTTTAATTCTCAATCAATTTAAGTTTGGTATTGCCTATGCTTTTGGAGTTGCCATAAAACTTGTCTAATTAAAACACATCCAAGTATTTTACCATAGTGGCTTATTCCAGTGGTTTACCTAGTTCTGAATTCTGTGCAATATAACTGGCAAGGAATGTGCTGAGAAAGTGGTCTTCTATGACATTTAAAATTATATCTAGCAAGAAAACAAACTTAAAACAATAATTTGGATCATGTTTATGTAGTCATTACTTTGCCATGTTGTATACTATTTAAATCGTAATGAATAAAGGAAGTACAAGTAAATCATTCTGTGTATGTGGCAAGCTTCCTTAAAATGACAACCTAATTTTAACACATGCATTTAAGTACTGTTGTACAGTGCTATGCATTTTATGAATGATAACTGACAAGACTCAGTTACAACAGAAAGGCTTCTTGGTGAGAAAACTACTTTGGAGTTGCACAAGATTTTTCATGAGTAGAGATTTTAGGGTCAATTATACACAACAGACTAATGTTAAAAAACATATTTCAATTTTATTTTTTCAACCATATTTTGTCAAATTATCCAGGAACCATGAAAATCTATGCTGCTTGGTAAATAAAAGAAATCCAACTTTTCTACTTCATGAGCTCTTTTTCTAGTGTTTGACATGCCTCAAGTGAAAGTACTTTTCTTGTGCCTTAACTAGAGAAGATATATCAAATTGATCACAAAAAAGTTGCATTTCTATCACATTTACATGACGTCCTCTTCACATTATTGTATTTAGGAAATCATTTGGGTTTTTTTTAAGCAGAGGTGCTTATCAATTTTTACTTTTTTCCCCTTTCCTTTTTCCTCCCTAATAAATGAAAGAAGGGAAGTAAACAAAATGCTATCAGGAAGCCAACATTCATTCAAATGATCCAAAATAAATGACATATTTAAAAATATATGTTTTGTTAAAGTCTCAACTTGAAGGAGGAAAAAATCCGCAGGCCTGCAGAGCACAGAACTGTTGGAATACAGCTAAAATATGATGGTCCAATTCAGCAGTAAAGAGAAGGTTTTCCAAGGTCACCATGTACTGTTGGATTATCTGATGATGCTATAAAAGTAAAAAGAGGAGAAATTAAGTGAAGGATGGAAACTACCACAAAAACAACTCAGGACCAAAATTTTCAGCTTACTGTTGGGGGTGAGAACTCTCAATACAAAACCTGGGTAGAGAAAGATGTGTACTTACTACTATTGAGTGGAAATAGGGCTATAGGCTTTCTAATATACCTGACTAAGGGAAAGAACAGAAGAAAAATGGCTAAATGTTAACTTTGAAAATACTTTGCTGTGACATGAAATCAGTTTGCTTAAAGTTGGCTTTCTAGGTGTTGACTAAAGCATACAATAATTTCTTAAAGTTGTTCATGAGAAAGGGGGAGGTGTTACAACTAAGCTTTATTTCCCCTACATTAATCTAACATGTTTATTATAGATCTGTCATGTGTCTAATAACACTGCTGCTATGGGAGACAGCGAGAGACATATAAGGGACAATCCCTGAATGCAGAGCTTACAGTCCAGTTAGGAGAAACTACATATATGAAAAAACAACTAAAAAGTTAATGATATAAGAAAATACAAAGGAGTGGAAGAGTAAATGCTATGGAATTTCAGAAGGAGAGACACTACTGAGTCAAAAAGGCTTCACAGAACAGGTTAAGACTTGAGCCTGGCCTTAAAGGATGCAAGATTATGCCAGGAACAAAGTCCCATACCTTGGTGTTATTTATATCTACTTTCACAGGTCCCTAAAGTTAATAAGGCATCAAGCAAATATCCAACTGCTTAGTGAAGCTGTCCAGAGGCCATCAGACTTTCCGTGTATATGTCTACCTTTCTAAAGAACTTTGGAGGACACTAGCTAAACATGAAAGACTTGTGAAATCAGAAACTACATCTAAATAAGTTTTTTCCTTCATTTATGGACCCACCCTGTTGGCAGAATGGTGGGGAGAATGATGTTTGAGTTCTGTGTTAGCAAAACCTCTCTTTGAAAGGAAACATTCTTTCCCATAATTTGGTGTTTTCTTGGAGGCATTCTTCAGCTTAGTATAGTTAAAAATAACACTATCTCCTTTTTACTTGAAATTCAGATCTGCTTTCAAAAATAAACAAGTCTCATCTTTTCATTCTATTATTTAGGTGGCTGAGTACAGGACACGAGGTATCTCTTTCTCTAATACTTGAAGTCCAACCTAAAATCTGACCTTCCCAATCCCCCTAAATGCTATGGATTATTTACAATTTATCCTGTTTATCTTGTTTGCACGTAGCTGTTTACATGTTTTCTTCATCATTAAATCGTGAGTTTCTTGAAAGCAGGGATAGTTTTTTTCCTCTTCTTTTGTATCTTCAAAATTTAGCACAGTGCTTGGTATGCCACAGGTAACTAATTGCTTGCTGACTGATTTCCTCCACTTTGTAATCAGCATAGGGATCATCTTTTAAAAATGTTTGCTTGGAATCTTAGGAACCAGAAGTTTTCTTTGTGACCTTAAAAAAGTCCTAGCCTCTCTGGGCTTTGGTTTCTAACATCGATGATGCCCCTAAAATCCCGTCTTTCCCCTGCCTCAAACTCTGAATATGTGAACCAATATCTGATTGGGAAACATGTAAACAGAAGAGAGAGGCTGAACCTGTGACTTCATTAGTATAGAGTAATGTCTAAGTAAGGAAACTTTCTACCAATATAGGTTGGCAATACCTCTGCAAAACCTCTACAATTTATAGTTTTGGAGTTTGCCTCAGGCCACAAAAGGAATGTGTTAGAGACAGGACTTGAACCCAGACCCTCCTGGTTCTGAGACTGGCTCTCTATCCAAGACAGGTAAGTAAGTACCTTAAATTGCTGTCTACTGAAAAACACCAATTGGGTCTTTTTGGTAGGATACTAAAGACAGGCAACTCAAAAGAATGCAATTTTACTTTCCTTGACATCTTTAATGTAAATCCAGGAGGCACTATAAATTACATAAATACAGCCACCAATCTTAAAAATGTATTCTTTGGACAGATTGAACCTATTTTTCAACAAGCATTTTTATCATGCACCTACTGTAATGAGGACACAAAGAAAAAATGAAACAAATCACTGCTCTTAAGAGGTTTAAATTCCACCAGGGGAAATAACACTAACGTATAAATATATACAAAATAAACTATTAAATACACAAAGTAATTAAGAAAAGGTAAGGGGGGTCAAATCACTTAACATCCCTGGGGCTCAGTTTTTTCAGAGATCATTCATTTACTACAGCACAGGACAGCAGTGACACCTACATATGTTAATGTTATGTTCTTTTGGTGGGATGAGGTGAGGGGCAGAAAGAAGGGGAAATGGGAGGGAGAGAATATAGGTAAGTTGAAGGCTCCAAAGTCACATATCACTTTTTGGCTAACAGGAGAAGAGGAAAGTTTTTAAAGGAGGCTATACTTGGATAGAGCAGTAGGCCCAGCATCAGGAAGGCTCGAATTCAAATCTAGCCTCAGACGTACTAGCTGTGTGACCCTGGGCAATTCATTTAACCCTATCTGCTTCAGTTTCCTCATTTGTCAAATGAGCTATAGAAGCAAATGCAAACCACTCCAGTATTTTTGCCAAGGATAACCCAAATGGGGTCACAGAGTCAGACACAACTGAACAACAGCAACAAGAGTTCGGAATAACAACAAATCCACCAACCTGCAAGAAGATCTGCTGTAGCCTCTCTATACAGTTCTTGTACCAAGGTGTTAATATATTGGTCCCATCAGTCTCGCATCGTACCAAGTGTTCTGTCAGTATCATGATAAAGCGCTGGAAAGGTAGAGACAAAATGAACATTAGCCATCTGTGTCCTATCAATTAGATATTTGGACAATTCCAGCATTTGAGAAATATTTACCAAAAAGAGACCAAATGACCTGATCTCCGGCAAATAAGTAAGGTAGCAACTTTAATGAGCATTTATTGCTTTCATATGACATGCATTTCCTTTCAAATAAAAGATAGCTAAAACTATAAATCTAAAAATGTAGGTTTTTTTTTTTTACTATTCTAAAAGTGTAAAATCAAGTTACCTGAAATATGACAAGGAAAAGATTCTTTTGCTCACTCTGAGCTGACTCGACTTTCTCCTGCAGACGTTCTATTTGCTCCTCTAATGCCCCATCGTCCCTGTCACTGCTTCTGTCATCACGCTAAAAATCACAAAAGAGCAAACAAAAGAAACAAGTTAGAAGTAGAATATATTAAAATCAATCAAGACAGGTCAGAATTTACTGCCTGGGGCAAAGGTTGCTGAATGAATTACAGAGAGAACGTGATTTCAAATTCTAAGAATCGTAACATTGATGACTGTGATTTGTGATTGTGAGAATGGCTAACAGTTTTTAAGTTGTACTCCTAAAAACACACACACAGACCCACATGCCACTACACTGCTGACACTGACTGGCTTTTAGCTTTGATTTCTAAAATGCCCAGTGACATGAGATGCAAGTATTTACATGGGTGTCAGACAGTTACTAACTTACCTTCAGGGTATTGTTCTTGAATGGCTACTAGTTAAAATCCCAAGGAATACCTGGCATGACTCCAGATATATGGGAGATATTAAAAGATAATGTGGAAGATCCTCTAGCTCTCCACAGACGCAGGTTCACTAAGAGCAGGGAACCCTGTTGGTGTCTCTATTGGACAATAAATAGTGGATATGGTTTGGAGGTTTATCTGAGCTTAGAAAACAAAAACCA